GTACCAAGTTCTTATAGTTTGGTCATGTTTTTAAAAGGTTGACAGAAAAACACAAGCCAAATTCCTGACAGCACAAACTTGGCTGACCTTTTAAAGACATATACGGTCCAATCAGAATTATAGGTGTGCTATGGCATCAGGCCCTTAATGTGTCAATGGTGATCAATGCCTCCCCTATGTGCAGAAACATGCTCCATCTCCCCCCTACTCACACAGATTCTCTTTAAGGTCACCCCTGTCCCATAGACCCTGTACAAAAGTGTTCCTACAATAAATGTGCTAGAGTAAAAAGCCTTTTAAATTTAAACATAGCCAAAGCTGCCGACGGCGCTGGATTTAATGACTAGCGCTCCCCACAAGCTAAACGTCTAAGGATGATGAATGGTATATGCTAGGAAGCTGCGTTTGTGGCCTGGCATGCCCCATAATCGCTCTCACGAATCAGTTAGATGAAGAAATGAAAAGCTTCAAATAATTGCAGGTGGATTAACGTCCAGTTACTCATATAGACTTTAGTTTATTTTGCGTTATTCTATGTCAAAATACAAATTCCAGTGCAAGTGTGGAATGATAATGGCTGTTTAAAGGCTCAGCCAGGTTCTTTGTTGGAATTTATAGTGAGTGTTTTGCAGCTAATAAAATGGAGAAATGATTAGACATGCTAAAATCTGTTGGTACAGTAGATATTTTAAAGACTTCTTTTTTTCTACTTTCCACAACGAATGTTGAGAGAAGTCATGAAAATTATATAAGAGGACATTGTGCAACCAAGGACAAGTAATTTAACACTACAAATTTAGCTTGAATGTCTATTACACTTGGGGTGTATGAGGGAGGCACAAAAAGTGTGACGCATTTCAAAATGCCATGTATGGCTTTGAGACTATAATAATAATGCATCGGTTCTATATAGTGCTTTTCTGGACACTCAAAGACGCTTCACATGTCATTATTCATTTACTCCAAACACGGTGGTGGTAAACTACAACTGTAGTTGGTGGTGTCCGACCACCACCAACCATTCACACACACACACCAGACTCATTCTAGGCAATGGGGGTAAAGTGTCTTGCCTAAGGACACAACGGCAGTTTGGCACTTTACAGCCGCAGCCGCCCCACTGTGGCTGGTGTTCCCAAAGGTTAAGTGTCTTGCCAAGGACACAACGACAGCAGGCAGTGGGAGTCGATGGTGAAAGTCGGGCTCGAACCCACGACCCTATGGCTCAAAGGCCAATGCTCTACCAAATGAGCTTCTGCCGCCCAGTAGATAGGCTTTGTTATGAATTCAGGTACAGATTAAAAATAAGATGGTCTTGATAAACAGTTCAGTTATCTCATTACAAAGCACTGGTTTCAGTGTTTACATATGCACAGATGGAGACACTCAAAGGTGAAACAATATTAAGAGCAATGTTCTATTATTGTGGGCATGTGAAGGGCCAAAGCTCTCCAAAAAAGCAGTTAGAAATCATACAATAGGTTCTACAACGCACCTGCATAGAAGCCTATATTTTGTCCACACATAGGTTGCAGATATAAGCCGCAGGTTTTCATGTTGTAATGTACCAGATAGAATGTTTCAACTGGTCACAACATGATTAAGTAACCTTCCATTGACTCATCTAATTTTGCAATAAACGAGTGTCCTAGAGCAACTAAAACTCAAAGTCAAAGTCCATATATTCTGCTCTGACAACAGCCAGAAGAATACACAAATTGCTCGCAATGCAACATAAGCCGCAGGGATCAAAGAACTATAAAAAATCCAGAAATTACGGTAAAAATTTAGTTCTTTATCTGTCCCACAGTAGGTCTAAGGTCTAAGTGGGAAACTCCTCCAAAGGTGGTGGAGAATGAGCGTGCGAAGATCCTGTGGGACTTCCAGATACAGACCGACCGAATGGTAATGGCGAACCAACCTGACATTGTGGTGGTAGAACAAAGGGCTGAAGAAAGCCGTGGTGGTGGACGTGGCAATTCCAAGCGATGGCAACATCAGGAAAAAAGAACACGAAAAGCTTGAGAAATACCAAGGGCTCAGAGAGGAGCTGGAGAGGGCCTGGAGGGTAAAGGTGACAGTAGTGCCCGTGGTGATCGGTGCACTCGGGGCAGTGACCCCGAAGCTAGAGGAGTGGTTACAGCGGATCCCTGGAACAACCTCGAACATCTCGGTCCAGAAATGTGCAGTGCTCGGAACAGCAAAGATACAGCGCAGAACCCTCAAGCTCCCAGGCCTCTGGTAGAGGACCCGAGCTTAGAAGAGGGATAACCGCCCGCGAAGGGCGATAGGTGTGTGTTTCTTTTATATATATACATATATATATATATATATATATATATATATATATATATAAAAAATTAAAAAATTGTCCACTCACCTTTGGCCCTCCGCGAGGGTGGTCTTCCACATTCCCATCGAGTTTGCAACGAAGTCCCTTAGAGCCCTGTTGATATTGTACAACTTCAAGCATTCCATGATCCATGTGTGTGGCATTGAGTCGTAGGCTTTCTGGTAATCAATCCAGGCTGTGTACTGGTTGGTGTGTCGTGACCGGCAGTCTTGGGCGACTATTCTGTCAACCAGGAGCTGGTGTTTGGCTCCTCTGGTGTCTCTACCAATGCCCTTCTGTGCTGTGCTCATGAATTGTTCCATATGCCCACTTATCTTAGCCGCAATGATGCCTGACTTGAGCTTCCATGTTGTGGAGAGACAGGTTATTGGCCGGTAGTTGGAAGGGACTGCACCCTTGACAGGGTCCTTCATGATCAGGACCGTTCGCCCTTCGGTTAGCCATTCTGGGTGAGTCCCATCTCTCAGCAGCTGGTTCATTTGTGCTGCTAGGCGCTCATGGAGTGATGTGAGTGTCCTTAGCCAGTAGGCATGGACCATATCAGGGCCAGGTGCTGTCCAGTTTTTCATACCTGAGACTCTTTCTCGGATGTCTGCCTCTGTGATGGTAACTGAGTTCTGTTCTGGGAGGTGGCTGTGCTCCTCTCTCAGGGACACCAGCCATCGTGCACTTCTGTTATGTGCTGCATCCTTCTCCCATATGTTCTTCCAGAACTGTTCAGTTTCCAGCCTCGGTGGATCTGCTCCCCTGTTGTTACCCTGCCACTGAGCGTACACCTTCGCAGGTTGTGTTGCGAACAGCCTGTTCACCCTTCTGGCTTCATTCTCTTTAGTGTACCTCTGTACGCGGCTGGCCAGGGCTTGGAGCCTTTGTTTGGCAGTTTCGAGTGCTTCAGGTATGGTCATCTGGCTGTACTTTCTGGGTACTGGTCTTTTCATTGCACCTCTCTGGGCCTTTGTTAATTGACTCACTTCTCTCCGAGCTGCCTTGATCTTAGCCTCCAACCGTCTTTTCCATGGTGGGTATTGTCCATGGCTCCCATTGGTTGCTCTTATAGCCAAGCATCTCTAGGATCACTGCTGCTGAAGTGTATATCAGCTCATTGGTTTCAGTGATTGTGGTGGTAGGTATTTCCCTCACTGCTGCATTCACGCTTTCTATGAGATCCTTAGGTGGTACTTCACACAACCGCTGTAACCGGTGTCTTTGCCCTGTGCCCATTCTAGCCATGATCTTAGCTTTAAGGTCAGTCGCTGCCTCGTTCAGCGTTATCGGTTCCATTGGGGCTATGTACCCAATATCTGGTTGGGGAGTTGCAGTTGGTGGGATCTCATCATTTGCAGATGCAAGTTGTTGTACACTGGCAGTGCAAGTTGTTGTACACTGCCCAGGCGCATGATTGGGCAGTGTACAACAACTTGCAAAAAGTTGCTGCGACATTGACTCACTACAAGATGAATCGCACTTTCTCAAATGCAATAACGAGCCACATTTAACCATATGTAATTACAGCCAGAAATTGCCCCTTCAACAATGCAGCGGAGCTGCTAAAGGGACGTGTCTGGAGTAGCAAGAGTAAGCCATAAGTCAAAGAGCTGCCCCAGGGGTAGGAGGATGGATAGCGACACAAGTAAGCTAAATCTGTATGTGTGGATACAGCAGGGTGCAAAGGCTGAGTGTAAGTGACAAATGAAGCTGGTGCGGTTTTGCTGGAATCCATCGTCTGACATTGACAAATGAAGATTACCATGATCAGCACCATTAATACATGCGGACACTGGCACAGAAAGTTTGGTGTGACCAAAAGGAACTATGACCCAAACAAATTAAACGGTGAGGGGAGACCAGCAGTCATTATGCACGAAATGCATGTTTTTTTTATCAACACTATATTCTTGGCATTCCACACTTGAAATTGCGATGTAAGCCTTAAGAGGAGGATGCAAGTTTTGAACCCATAAGGATTAGAGGGGTCAAATGACAAGGATTATTTCCCCATATAGATGAATTAAGCACATTTTATGAAATATGTTTTCAAAATATAAGTTATGTAAGTTTTTAAGTTATTATATATTATATATATGTAAGTTATTATACAGCATAGCATAGTTATTCACATTTACACAAAAGCCGACCAGGAACAGCGACAAAATGCTGTTATACAAGTCCAGCTTTGATCTTAGTTTAGAGCCACTAATGGAGCTCTCTGCTACATTTAGATGTAGCCTCTTTGTGTGTTTAGGTGTGTGTGGGACGGAAGGGGGGGCGGGTGTGTTTGGGCAGGTCAGACACCCATGCAGATTACAAGAAAGAAGCATGACAGACAGCACTAATGGATGCTCTTTGAGTCCAGCCCCAAAATTTGTAGTCTTTTGAGTATTTCCTCATGGAAGGAAAAGGCTTACAAGTGTAGTCTGATTATGTGTAAAGAATTTAACAATTAGTGCAATTTATGTAAAAGCCATTTTTGTTAAGTTTTTCATTTCAATAGTTTGTTTTTTATCTATGAATCATTAAACATAGTGACAGCAGATAGCGTCTTCCAGCCTGATTAATGCAACATATAAAGAGACATTTCAGGGAGTATAGCATGTGTGCACTGGACTTAGAAAGTGTAATTAATGGCAATGTGAAAGTGGAGTCCCACCTCCTGTAGCGTTCGCTTGAGTCGTAGCAGCAGCGTTTTGACAGCAGTGCAGTCCTGCTGCATCAGTCTCAGTTGCAGAGTCTCCATCCCTGGGGCTAGAGGCTCATCTTCTCTCCCCACAGCGGGCAGCAGGCTGGTGGGTCGGCTGGATTCCCTGGGGAACAGACCAAAGAAGCAGAAAAGACAGATCTAATGTTACTGGGAGTAGCGTAAAAGGGAAAAAAAATCTTCACGGGCAGCCAAGGGGATCAATTGGTGGTTACTCAAAAGATTATGTATAATACAAGAATATCCAGACCAAAAATAAGTGATTCAAACTTTTATCCTTGCAGTTATTTTGTATTATGAGCCAAAGTAGAAATAAAGAATGCACCTACAAATACATTGCATAACATCAGAGCTTCACACATTCATTCATTACATATAATAGGAAAAGTGCTTTGGTACCAAGAAGTCGGTCTGGTTAGACTTTATTATTAATAAAGTACTCCACAAAGAGGCGTAAATCCATTCATTCATCCAAACACGATCATATTCAACATCCAGTCACCTATACCTGGTGCAATTTCTGAGATTTCATGCAGTATTTTTTTGTATTCTGCTCATAAGATTATGATAAAAAGATCCTTTATTCATCGCTCTGTGGGGAAATATCAGTGCTGCATCAAGTCTTGAAGAGGGTGTCTGTATTTTGTGTCCAGTCCAGTTGTGATTCAAATGAACACCATATCTTAGCTTTGTTGCGAACAGATACTTACTTACTTACTTACTTACTAAAAGAACGCTAGTGAATTTACAAAATAGTTTTCAGAATGTAAAATCCACAAAGACTAATTTTGTTGTCTTTGAGCTTTGCAAAATACAATTACAATTGTATTTTCATACACCTCAAAAACCTTTAGTCAACAACACATGCTTCCATGCATTTCTTCTTATTCGTTCAGTGTCCCCGCAATTTGTCTTATTTCTGCTATTGATTGGCTTTGTGTGTGCAGAGTGCAACTGCAACGATTACTGTCATTATCCTTTGTACATAAAATTCACAGTTTTCTTTTTCTAACTGGTGGTTTAGAAATAAAAACACGGCAGAAAAGAATACCCAGACTTTGAAAATCTATGGATAAAACAAAACAGCGTGTACCTCATCCCTCAGTAGATAAAATGTTAATCCTATGCAGACCATTTTTTGTGTAAAAATCTTTTTGAAAAGATGTTTTCCTATTAAGAAGGAAAACTATTTTTTGGTGTTTTCTAGTTAACAGGGAGGGGGAAAACTATGCAGCCACGGGGAGAACATGGGGCCATTCAGAATACGTTCCGACCGGGATTCAAACCCAGGACCTTATTGCTGAGAAGCGTGAAAGCTATCCACTCAGCCACCACACCCGTCCATGCTGTAGGGTGACTGTCCACTCCCTCGTCCTCCATCTTCCAGTCCTGTGGATTTCCTCTGCTTCAGTCGCTTCAGCTCTCTCCTCATCTTGGTCCTGTGAGATGGAGAGGGGGGTAGTGGGGGGGGGCGACCGGGTGTACTGTCAGAGGTGGGGGCTAGGGATGTGGGGGCAGGGGAGCTTGGGGCAGTTGAAGGCAGGGCCCACTGGGCGGTGTCCAATGGGCTGGAGACGTGGGAAAATAAAAAATAAAAAAGATGTACTTTTTAATGCCAATTACATACTAAGGCCATAAACATAATTTGTTCAAATGCTTTAATTGTAAATGCAATATGTTTGGTAATTATGTGGTCTTACCTATATATAAGTAAGACCAGATTGTTAAATTCCAGCCTGAGGTTCAACTGAAATATGCCAGAAACTAACCTGAATATGAACTTGTAATTCTGATAGACAAAAAGGTTGAGAATGAAAACTCAAAGATACTCTATTGTAATTGGATTGGCCTTTCTTTCAGGGAAGCAGAGACACTACATAAGACTCGAAAGGAGACGCATAATAAGAAATCTTCATCTCTAATAGAATAAAAGAGAATGCAACAGTTTGTAAAAAAAAAAAAAAAAAAAAAATACTGGAATAGTGATTGGTTGCGTATGAAATGGTTCGAGATAGAAAGGCATCAGTAACTAATTGCAATCCACTGAAAATTGACCTATCAATGAAAAAACAAGTAATGATATAATTTCTTTTGATTAATGCTGTTTAAAAAATTAGCGCATTTGACACATGTCCGAATGACCCGCCCATTCATCCCATAATAACACTCAGAATGCCACGGACACATGCCATGGATGCGTGTGTAAGATGGAGACAGGGCACGTAGGCCCTCTGGGAATTCAAGTTTTAAAAGAACACGTGCGTGAACGCAGGGCACTTGCTGTAGTTTGCTATGAACTCGAACAAGATCCCGCATTGTCCTTGGCCGCAATGTTCTGACCCGGGGCAGCTGCGGCCGCTCTGGACAGCGGTTCCCACCTCCAGCGGCTGTGAGCCGCTTTGACAACAACACAGCGAACGGCGCCGCCGTAACGTCACAATGTCCCCAAGACCATACACGGAACCATTATCTGCTTGTTGTGCACTGAAGCTGGCCTCTGGGAGTGTCCGCGTCTGTCTCTCAAAGCGCTACTAAACTCGCTAAATTAAAGCTGGGGTACGTACATTTTCCCTTGCATTAACAGCACATGTTGGTTGTGCCCTAAAGTAAAATTTTGTGAGAAAATCATACAGATTTAATGACATTCTGGATTTCAAACTGTTTTGAAAAGTCTCTCATTCCTGTTACAAACAATAGTTTTGGTCTGAGTCTACTACAAAAATACAAATTGTTCCATCCATCCATCCATTTTCTTCTGCTTCATCCGTTGCCGGGTTGCAGGGGGCAGCAGTCTAAGCAGAGACGCCCAGACTTCCCTATCCACACACACTTCCTCCAATTCATCCGGGGGGACCCCAAGGCGTTCCCAGGCCAGCTGAGAGACATCCCTCCAGCGTGTCCTGGGTCTCCTTCCCAGGGAGGCGTCCAGGAGGCATCCGGAACAGATGCCGAAGCCACCTTAACTGGTTCCTCACGACATGGATGAGCAGCAGCTCGACTCTGAGCTACTCTCATGTGACAGAGCTCCTCACCCTATCTCTAAGGGTTTGCCCAGCCACTCTGCGGAGGAAGCTCATTTCGACCGCTTGTATCCTTTTGGTCATTACCCAAAGTGAGGGAGGGAACAAAGATTCAACGGTAAATCGAGAGCTTTGCCTGTCGGCTCAGCGCCCTCTTCACCGCAACGATCCGATACAACGGCTGCATCAATGCGCACGCTGCACTGGTCCACCTGTCAATCTCACTCGTGAACAAGACCCCGAGATACTTGAACTCCTCCACTTGAGGAAGGAGTTCTCCCCCCTTGACTGCCACCTTAACATGGTGGGGGAGTTTGAGTACTTGGATGATCCTTGGAGCTATGTTGTCCGTGGATTAATGCCCCTGGTAGGGTATCCCATGGCAAACAGGTCTTGGTGATGATTCAGACGAAGCGCAGTCTGAAGCGACCATGGAAAGCACAAAAATGACAACCGTGATGTCGCCTGGTATGGCGCAGCCGGGATCCCACCATAGACTGTATATATTAACGGACAGAGTCACGCCTATCTCCGCCGTTCTAACTAATGGGCCAAAAAATGTGCTCTACTGGAGCAATCCAAAATGGCCGCGAGTGGTCCCGCCCACAAGAAAATTGTGAAAAAATGCATCTGCGCATGCGTCAGCCGGCGCAACTCCATTCATTTGAACGAGAGACTTCAAAAATTCACAGCGAGTAAACTAGAGTGGACCAAAAAAATCCACCCCCCTGAGCATTGACACACATGTGGAACGGAGCTTTGGGCCAAGAGCCAACTTTTGGACCATCCTGTAAAGACGTTTTTGAGAGGTCTGCCAATGCTATATATTAGCATTGGCTAATTCTACTTCTGGGTCCACCCCCATCGGCCCGGGGTGGTATTGCAAGCATGTCAGCGCACGTCATTTTGGCCACTTTTGAGCTGGGACCCTCCCCCACTGGATCCCACCCAGGAGCCAGGCCAGGGGTTGGGGCTCGAAGGCAAGCACCACCCACAGAGGGATCCATGGGGCATTGGTGCAGAGAGGACTGGGCAGCGGTCAAAGGCGACCCAGTCCACACAAACAACATCAAAGACAGAATGTTAATAATGTTAATGCCATTTTATGTGGATTTATTTTTGTTATAATTTAAAAAAATACAGTACATATGTACACTATGTTGTAATTTTTTTCCATTCAAACATTTAATCGCATTTCGAACGAATTGATTTTTAAGCTGTAATGAACTCGATGAAAACATTTAATCGTTCGACAGCCCCAATTTAAACTGATCAGACCGCAGGTAATAAACCTTGAAAAATAAAGAAATATTGTATACAAAGTGTTTCTTTACATGGCACTATCAATGCTAAGTAAAGCATTAGTTATTTTTGAATACAACATAATAAATGAAGGAATGAAGTAGGCCCACCGTAAGACCTACTTCACGACTCCCGCTGATGACTGCTGCCGTTGTGTCCTTGGGCAAGACACTTAACCCCACTTTGCCTGAAGCCTCCGCTGAAAGATCTCAGCTCCTGTGGACTCACCACCTGCAGGAGGATCAGTGAGGGGCTGGTGCTAAGTTGTACTGGGTGCAGCTCTGACTGCCACCCCCCCGACCCAGAAATGGATTAAGGGGAAGAAAATGGATGGATGGATAATAAATGAAACATCTTTACCGCAAATAAACGAGCAGACCCCCGCCCAATCTTTCATAACAATACCCGAACCTGTAGACTATAGTATCTGGTGATGTTACACATTGTTGTTATGGCGAGCACACTGGGTGCTGTGCTGCTAACTTCACTAGCCCACCCCATTACACCAGTGTTACAAACAAAGCAACGCAATTGAGAAAAGTTACACATGCATGAAACACAAAATATATTTTATTACTTTATACATTTTTGTTATGAGTCTGGGACCAAGGTATAAGCGTGTGCATTTAAGCACACCCCCGTCCCCACACTCACTTCTAAGTCTTCATACCATTGACAGTACTTCATAAACATCAAATACACTGGAATTGGCCTGTTGACATTGCGTTATTTTACACATAAGGTATTTTAATACCTTATGTGACAAGATAGCTTATGATGACAA